GGCAGTTTTTCATATACCTATTACATATATTATTAATTAATTAATTAAAAAATTTTTCTTCCAAAAAATAAATAATAATTAATCACTCAAACAAACCCCAGCCATAATGCCTTCAACATACTGTATTGGGTCTTGCATTGCTTTCTGTTTCAATGATTTGATTTTCTCTATATCATTTTTTACTAGTCCCAATTGAAATTTTAGAACATTAATTGTTCTTATTATCATTTCATAACTATAATAAATAATGTATATTTGTATATTATGTAATATTACTATTATAATTATACTATTACTATTAATTAACCCACTTACTCTTCATTACTATGCAATAAACTTTCTTCTAAAGAATATCCTGAAATTTCATTAGAAGCAGTAATTTCTGTTATTGTCTCGTTGTTTTCGTTTGTTGATTTAGGCATGTCTTGAGAAATGTATGATTCTTGGACAATAGAAGTAACTTCTTTTTCCTCATTATCCCTCATTACAAGTAATTGCCCTATGAAAATAAATATACAGAAAAATTATATATAGAAATTTTATTGGAATCCAATTTAATATGCAAAAATTTACAGGAGGTTTATAGAAACCTTTTATGATTTTTTTGCAATACAAGAAATTTAGAAAATGCAAAAAAAATAAAAAAAAATTTACAGGAAATAAGAAATTTCTTAGAGGAAAATATGGAAAATATACAAGAAACAAAATCATTTGTAAAAATATTTACAGCAAGTATATAGGAAATAAATATGCAAGAAACAAATTCCCAAAAAAATTCGTAATATATTAGAAGTTCCAAAAATTGATTGGTCAAAGTATCATACAAGTCCATCAGAATACAAACCAGGTAATTAGATATTGGTGACACATAAAATTGGACTGAAAATCTTTCTAATAAATAAGAGATAACAATTTATTTTATTTAAAAGATCCAGAGTTTACTCCAGTGGTATGAATTTTCAATAATATCTTTTCTAAAGAATTTAATTTATGTTAACTAATATTAAAAAGAAATATATTTTAGTCTAATAAGCTAACGTGCGAACCAATTGAATCTGTTGAATTTGTGCATCAATGTGCTGAAAAAGTGGGCTTAACAAGATACAAT